TCCGGATATGTTACAGATGATCATCAACTTCCGACGTCATGCGATTGCCTTCACCCCAGATATTGAGAAGGCCTTCTTACAGATTCTTATCAAGCCGGAGGATCGTGATGCCCTTCGCTTTTTGTGGTACGCACGTTTCCCTACAGAAGACCCCACAAGTTCGGAGACTGAAGCATGACGCGCGTCCCTTTAGGTGCAACGAGCAGCCCTTTCATGCTGGCAGCGACTATCAAACACCACCTTGCCAACGTCTCAGAAGACTTGTCTGAGATTGCAAAAGTACTGGATGATTGCCTTTACGTGGACGACTTGATTGCTGGCACTGAAACGCTGGACGAAGCAACAGACTTTTACAGGGAAGCCCAGCAAACATTGAGCTCAGCAGGAATGAAGCTGAGGAAGTGGAGTTCCAACAGCGAGTCATTGCAACAACAATTTGACGAAGATGGGGTTGGAAACCTCTCCTGTGATACTTCCACACCGAGGTCAGGTGTGACGCGGGTTTTGGGACTTGAGTGGAATAGAGAGAGGGACGAACTGAAGTACTCTTTAGAAAACACGTTGGAGCTTCTGACAATCAACCATGACACAAAACGCTTTCTACTGCAAGCATCAGCGAGAATTTTCCACCCCTCGGCCTCCTCAGCCCAGTGACGATAACAGCCAAGATGTTATTTCAAGAACTTTGGGCATTCGGGCTAGAATGGGACACTCCGCTACCTCCAAGCGTAAATCTGAGATGGAGTAACTGGCTCTGCATCATCTCGGGGACATTTAGATTCCTCGTCGCTATGCTGCATACAGCGGTCAAACTGAGCTGCATGTCTTCACGAACGCTAGCCCCCAGGCCTATGGGACAGTCGCGTATTTGCGTAGTGACTGTGATAACCAGACGACAGTGAGCCTCGTTATGGCCAAGACACGCGTTGCGCCAGTAAAGACCTTGACTCTACCGAGACTGGAACTGATGGGAGCGTTACTGGGAGCTCGACTATGTGCCTACTTAAGGAAGTTCTTAAGTCGGATCTCTCAGAAGTGACGCTTTGGACATACTCTATGATTGCTCTACACTGGGTAACGGCCTGGCTACTCAGTGGAAACCATTCGTGGCGAACCGAGTTATGGAGATTCAACAGAGGACAAAACCCAGCAACTGGAGATACTGCCCTGGAGCTGAGAACCCGGCGGAATTACTAACCCGGGGTTGTCCGGATTGTCTACAGAAGTGTGACCTATGGTGGAAAGGACCAAAGGGGCTGGCAGAGTCACAACACATGTTGGCCTACTATGCCCACTGGTACCCAAGATACTGCAGCCAAGGAAGAAGGAAGGACCTCAGAACTAACGGTGAGCCATACTGCTACGAGCTCCTGTATGCCTGTGGTAAATATCGGAAAGTTTGGGGAGCTGAATTGCCTACAACGAGTCACTGCTTGGGTGCTACGTTTTGTCAATAATTGTAGACACACCAAAGAGAATATCCAGGGTCCACTCAAAACTGAAGACATAGGGGAGGCACGTTTTAGCTTGCTCTGTCAGGTTCAAAGGGAAGCCTTTAAGGGTGAACTAAACCAACTAGAACGAGGCGAACAGTGCAGTGGCTCGTCAGATCTGCGCACTCTGAATGTATTTATAGCTGGCAGAGGGTTGCTGCGACCGAGAGGACCCCCTACAACATTCAGACCTCGGTTATGAGACGGTACATCCTGTCAATTTGGTTTCGATGCACCACTTTGTGGAACTGCTGATCTTTAGCAGACATCGACGGCTGCTACATGCAGGGTGCATGGACACTCTAACTCAGCTGCGCGAGACGTTTTGGATTATACGAGCCCGACAAGTGGTTAAAAAGGCCTTGAGCCGTGGTCTTGTCTGCAAAGGGATGATCAGCAAGAGTGCGACCGAACCAGTCGTGCTGCTGCCACGAGAACGAGTGCTGGAGGCGGGCACTTTTGCGGTCACGGTACTCGACTTCGCCGGACCTGTCCTCAATAAGGACGAAGGCAAGATAAAAAGAAATCATAGATTCTGCCACTGACCTGCGCAGTCACTAGAACAATACATCTAGAGGTGGTGAGTGACTCGTCTACAGGTAGTTTCATTCTGGCATTTCGTGGCTTTCTGGCCCGGCGCGGACCCTGCCACACGATCTACTCTGACAATGCCCTAACTTTCCACCGAGCGTCTGCTGAATTCAGAAAAATATTAAAAAAAAAACAATGAAAGAACACGAGCCACTCAATTACCTGTCCAGTCAAGGCATCAACTGGAAATTCATCGCTCTACGAGCGGCTTGGTGGGGCGGGTTTTGGGAGCGATAGGTTCGATTAGTTAAGACCCCTCTGAAAAAGGTTCTGGGGGTGCAGTTACGTAACCTTTGAAGAGCTGAGCACCATATTGACGGAGATAGAGGCTGTGATCAATTCTCGACCTTTGACCTCCATCTCCTCGCACCCGGACGAACCAGAACCATTGACACCCGCACATTTCCTTGTCGTTAAATGACTGACTTCCTTGCTAACTCGAGGAGGACAGCCTGCGTTGTCATCAGCCAAAGATTTAACTCGCCGTTGGAAGTACCGTGAGACGCTATCGACCACACTATGGAAGCGCTGCCGCCAAGAATACCTCTACACATTAAGGTCATTTCATCACAGCAGACCGGCAGCCTCGAGTACTTTACGGGTGAATGACTTGGTGCTACTGCACGACGACTTCCATCTGCGACAAACCTGGAAACCTGGCCGCGTTGTGCAAGTGTTCCCGGGACGAGACGGCCACGTCCGGTCCTGCTTGGTCCGTTTGTCAGGAGGAACAACCATTAGACGTCCCATTCAACTGTTACATCAACTGGAAGCTCATAACGAATGAGCAATGCTCATTCGGCGGGGAGGATATTAAATATTGAGGACATTTCTTGCTAAATGTGGATGCGTGCCCAACTATACTCTGCTTCACCTTGTGTTGTACCGCACGAAAGGATACAAGCGCGATCTCCTTACTGTAGGGCACATCTCGGCGGCACAAGCTCTTGAGCACCAAGGGCAGCTGCCAACGATATGAGTTCGCGCTTCTAGCCTTCACTGCGGTACAACAGAAGGTGAAACGGAGTATAGGGAGTATTCACTGGACGCCATTTGTGGGTGCTGTATAGAGCGCATGCTCAGAACGAGCTCACATCAATAGGCTGCTAAGACTAGCACTCTTGATGGTGCGGAATGCACGTTGCAAGAGAACAGTGGAAGCTCGCCATCAGCACGCGCTCAGCATTCGTGCACACAGCTATGGCCTCCAGTGCATACTCCCTATACACACCTCACAAGGAAGAGAACAATGAGCATGTGCTAAGAAGAGAAGAGGAAGAAAAGGCTACCGGCGTGAGCAGAGCCCAGTTGGAACCGTTGGTCGGCACGACACCAGCCTTCAAGAGCCCTAGCTGCCATGTCTAAACTGTAAATACGTTGTTTAGACCTCTGTTGTAAACCGGAGTAATCTAAATTTTCGAATAAACACTATCGACGCGCAGTACAGATAAATAGATAAATAGATACAGGGAAGAAATGCGCCTAAAAGTGTCTGCAGACTGTTTTTTGTGCGATGTATTGGCAGTGAGACTGCGGATATATATAAAACGTCCGAAAGCGCGCCTTTCTTCTTGCGTACATCTACGAATAAAACGGCCGTCAACAAAGGCTCGTTCGAGTAATTGCGACTTGAGATAGCGGCGGTAAAAGCGATGGTCACGCTTCTTTCCGTCTCATGGGAAGTAGGACTTTAGATATGTGAGAATTCTGCGGCGTCACTCGCAGAGGGAAGTTAGTGTAGCGGGTGTTAGGATGCACGCACCGACTCAAACGTTTTTGTTTTCTGGCGACGCCAAAATGTTTGTGTTACAACCGTGGAACGGCAAGTCACACTGTAACAGTACGCGTGAAGTTCTAACGCGGAATGTGTTTTATAATCGGCCGAAATCTATCGGAAGACCGTGACCGTCATAATAAAGAACCGGCGCGAAGGACTGTAACGTCACGTGGTACCGTCACGGCGTGTGATGTCACCCGAGCGTCACATGTGACCAGCCCATTCACAACGTGTTCTCTGCTACCATGTCTCTGTCAGCACGATGAAGCTAGCGTAATAATTTTTTTTCTCGATGCTTTTCACCGCCTGATGCACTCCGACTACTATAGATCTATTTTCTATTTATCGGTAAAGTAAAAAAAAAAAAAAAGTAGTACTGAAATGCATGATATTTTTTGGAAAAAAAAGACAGAAAAAGTATATATGTATATATAAAGAGAGAGCGCGTGTACAAGCTCTAATAAAACATGAACAATTAAAAACTAGGCAAAACAACAACAACACCTTTATAATTTGTCATACGATTGTCAATATTTCTCCCGACAAAACGAAGAACCAAGCATATAAAAAAAAAAAAGGCAGATATACGACACGGATATTTACAGAATAAGGTTTCACCCGGGGAGCATAAGCCAACAGGGAAAACCCAAGTCCGTCCGAAATGCAAACACAGAGCAACCAAAATAACGGATGCCTTTTGCACCCGTAATCGCGTAGTACGGGAAGCAGTTACAGAGGAAGGAGTCTTTGCCCCCATCGTTATTTATTTGTACATTCGCCTTTCTCTCACGGCGACTCATTTAGCAATGGGAAAAACCTGGACACCCACCCCAGCGCGAACTTTGTCTCCGACCGGCGGCCGATGCTGTCAGTTTACCGGAGGATGCGGAAATATCTGACGCGTTCACCGGTAAAAGAGGATGCGGGGTACGTATACCACCAAACAAGACCGATAAGCGTCCGCAGACCGGGTCAAAGTGTGTATGTATCTGTGTATGTGTTTGGGAAGGGGGGGGGGGGGGGGGAGGGGCTTTCCGCTGACGACGCGGCACGCAAGAATCGGACTCCGAGAGCAAACAGGAAAACCGGGGGACTCGAATAAGAATATAAATCGCAACGGGTTATAGGATTTCTATCTAGAAGATATTGGGTTCGTTGCTTGTTTCAGTCTTTCGTCCATCACGATGCGCGTTCGCCTGGCACTGCTGGTGTTTGCGCTTCTCGAAGCGTCCGCTGCCAAGAAGTTCACCAGGTGCGAGCTGGCTTCTGCGCTGGTGAGGGGCGGCGTTCCCAAACCGCAGATTCCTGACTGTAAGTCCGATAGCTTAGAACGTGCCGGCAACAGTCGGTGCGGGACGGCCGTTTGCAGTGAAAGGCGCCTTTTTCTTTAACACTTACTAAAGTAACTTTAGCGTTTACGTAGCCGTTACTTGTAGGCGTAGACATTACGTCGATCGTACGTCACTTCTGCTTTACCGCTTGTTCTGCTATGGCGTTCCAGTCACCCCGAAATTGACCAGACAATAGGGAGTTTTTGTACACAGTGCTTCCTCCTCCGTTATGTTCTTCACAACGATGACGCCGACTGCGGTTGCGTGGCGCTAGCCTTTTATGTAGGGTTCCGGATCCTGCAGCATGTTGCGAAGAATGTTGCGGGATGTCGGAAACGCTCTAAGAGAACTCTATAGTGGTGGCCTTTTGTAATGGCTAGTAGACACGACAGGACAAGCTATAAAATAGGTGTGACATTATAAGCGCGACAGGCAGCTTATAGCAGCAATGGTGCGGCGAGCTTTAAACGCCAAACTTATTATAGTCTGTTTTTGCTGCTTGCAGGGGAGACCCTCCTGTCATGTCAAAATACGATTATAGCGAACCGCTTAATTCTGGACTAGAAGCGTACTTCTGTCAAAATGTGTTTTACGTTGTCTGCTTTTCACTTGGCCTCGAGGCAGTTTGAAGTCGGCCCTTGTAGCTATAAGGCAAAGCATTGATGGCGTGAACTACGTGTCCTACATTGTCTTATAAACACAGATGGCCAAAAAAAAAAAAAAAAACATGCGTATGCTTTGAGGATTTTCCAAACAACGTGCGTTACGTATTCTAGAATTACAGAGGTCAAAAGCCTTTTATAAATGTTCATGCATGTATTGTGCCATCTGCTTCAAAGTTATCTAAACTTGTGTTTTTTTTTTTTTGACGGATTGGTTAATTTTATAATCCTCTTTTTAAAATCAAAACATTTTCTCATCTCTCTCTCTCTCTCTCTCTTCACACACACACAAACCTTTATATATATATATGTATATATATATATATATATATATATATATATATATATATATATATATATATATATATATATATATATATATATATATTACGTTTTTTTCGTCATACGACAGGGATCTGCCTGGCTCAAGCTGAAAGTAGCTTGAACTCGAGGGCCACAAACAGGAACAAAAATGGAAGCACCGACTTCGGAATTTTTCAGGTAAGTTGCGCTCCTTTTTCAAGTTAGCCTATTACTCATACCAGAAGGATCCTGATCGTGCCTAGAAAGCTGCAGCAGGGGGGTGCCCCACCCAGGTGGTAGCACGAACTGAGATACTAAGCGCACAACGCAAACATAACACAAACGCGAGCATATAGGGCCTGTGCAATGAAGATTGGTCAACTAGATTTGAGTGAAAAATAGCACCATCTCCGTTTTGAGTGAAAAATAGCAACAACTGATATTTGAATGAAAAATAGCACCAACTCCGTTTTGAGTGAAAAATAAAAAGAACTGATATTTGAATGGAACAGCACGAACTCTGTTTTGAGTGAAAAATACTCTGTGACACGTACCACTGTCGCGTTCACCGTGCCCGAGCTCGAGCGTCAGGGTTTTCGCCGAACTCTGGCGCAGCACTCGTAAGGTGGCAAGGCGTGTCCGTCGGCAAACAAATGATGGCAGAGAACTCTGGACAGCTACCGCCATCTATGAGCGATGGTGGCAAACAGACAACCGGATTGCCGGTTGTCTGCATGGTTGCCGCCGTCGCTCATAGATGGCGGCAATCTCTCCAGCCTTTCCACTCTGGCTTGCCGTCTTGCGGCCGGCCATTCCTTCATTCCCACCATAGTAGAGCTTCGCTGGTCTTCCTTCTTCACCAGAATAAAAAAGCTGATTTCTTTTTTTTTTTTTTTTTTTTTTTGCGGCTTCAGCGATTTGTAGAGGTCGCCACTATTGGGCAGTTATGGCGGTCTGAAGCAGGTCCTGCCGTGTTGTGTGCCAGATCAACAAACAACTCTCGGGTTTCAGCACGCAAGCATTGAACTCAACATGGTTTACCCCAATTTTTATTCAGTATGTTTCAAACAGGCGGCGGCGATGTGTTGGCGTAAGCAAGTCTCCAGAGGTTCGGGGATATGCGATGGAAAGACCATAGAGTTATTATAATCTACGCTAGAGGTTCAACTGGCGCTAGTGTCTATGCGACTTCCGTGACGCAAATTGAAGCAGACAGCAGACCAGTCTACTTTTGCAGTGCTCCTGTGCAATCCTATGGGAAAACGCTCGTGCGTTTTGTCTCTTCGCCCGAAAATAACACGGAACACGTTGGTTATTTGGGTCGTACCGAATAGTGCGTACCTTGATTAACGTTGTAAAAATGTAATTGCTTTAGTTAGCGCATTTTCTTCATAAGTGAACGATGTTTAACTTCGCTACATTTCAGTCCCAGACGTGTGTTCCGCAGCAGGTATACAAAAACAAGCGACGATTCAAAGCAACATTACAATCGAAAGGAATATAGAGTTCGTTCAAGGCTCGCCAGCTTTCCGGTGACGCTTCTATATTGATAATATGCCAGTCCTGTCACTATATGAAAATGACCCCGTCGTTCATGAGCGGATAAAAAATTCAAAACGTAGAGAATAAAGCACATGGGCTATGAAAAGTGTCTCTTGTATTGTTTTCTCTGCCGGGCAGCTTTTATCGGGCACTTGTTCTCAAACATTTCGAGCGTGCGGGTGATTGTTTTAACGAAGCACAAACATCTCAGCTCATAGCAGAAAGAATAAAGCGGTACTACTTATTTAAAGTCGAATATATTGCGTGGCCTTCAATTTATTTTGATCGTACATGCACGGGTAATTACTAATCCAGTTTTGCTGCGTAGTTCTTGCCGTCTCCCTTAATTTTCAGATGCCCTCCGTTCGTTGGGCACGTATATCCCTCATGCTGAAAAGCGCCGGCGTCGTGTTCGCGCTAAGAGTGTCCGACAGTGCACATAAATACACGTACGAAGCCGTTTTAGCACCATTTTTAATGCGACGAATTTGAAATAAAAATACCGTAACTGTCCAATTATTTCGTCGGCCTGACTGAGAAATGTTTCAAGCTACTTAGTACGTACGAATGATTCGGGATATTTGCTCTTATAATCGAGCGCAGGGAGAAAATGCACTAATTTTTTCCCATAGAAATGCATTACCGGAAGTCAATTTTCGACTGGTTGCTGTCTGCTTCAATTTGCGTCAGCACACTAGCGCCACTTGAGCCTCTAGCGTACATTATAATAACTATATGGTAAGGACTACCCACTGTCCTTCGACGGTGCTGATGAACGTCGATAAACGCACAATGCCTGGTTCACGCTGTCGTGTAGGTTGCGTTCAGAGTCACAATATGGGCAACACGCTGCTGACACGACAGTCACGACAGAGTGACCGGGACAACTGTTCCATCGTGCCGGCGGCCGACAACACACAATCACGAAAGCGACAAGAAACGAGAAGAAATCGCGAAGAGACCTGTACCGTCCAGTTCAGTGTCTTCCCGTCATGCGCCAACCAGTTTGCTAAAGACAAGTTTTTACGGCGGAGCTGTTAAGGGCTAGGTTCCCCAGGATCGTGTCGGGTACCAAACAAATGTGGACACAACACACTGGTTGCCGCCGTCGCTCATAGATCGCGGCAACATTTCCAGCCTGTCCACTCTGGCTTGCCGATATTCGGACGGCCATTACTTCATTCCCACCCTAGTACAGCTTCGCTGGTCTTCCTTCTTCACCAGAGTGGAAAGGCAGAAAGTTTTATTGTGTTTTTTTTTTTCTTGCCTTTTAGAAGTGAAGACCGCGCCTGCACAGCTCTGTACACAGGCACCCATATAAGGTTTTGGCTTCATCGCCAAAAAAAAAGTTGTCCCTGAGGATAGCCAGTGTATAGCAGCCAACGTATACCATGCTTAGAAGAAGTCAACTGTTAGCGAGAGTCGTCTGTCAACCTAAAGCCGCGGTCGCCTTGCTAATACGTCACACAAAAGACAGTCATCGTCTGAGGCGTGCTTCTTTCTTGTACAGCGGTCCTGTCATATTGGTCGAATAAGGCCTGTCAGCAGACATGTCCTAAGCATGTGTAAAGCAAACATGCTTAGAACATGAATCATGAGGCGTGTCTGCAGATAGTTCTGCTTTCTTGTCCGCGCCTTCTTTAGTATGAGGTTTGAGCAGTGATACCACGGTTTAAACTTTAACGGGACATTGACAGGGTATTTATACTCGCCAAGGTTTTTATTTGTACATGACATACGTGAGTCCAACTTCTCAGAAAACAATTCGCGACTCGAAATTTGTTTTCTTTCCGCCCGAAAAACCGCCGATCGAGAACTGGCCTGTTCGAGTCGTGCTCACTCTCTTCTCCGTGGTCACGTGCCGTTTTCTATGGTTTAGACACAACCACCAAAGATAATCGAAGTCGTGGGTCATTAAAGGCCCCCCACATTATTAAAAATAGGAAAAAAATAAGACCCATTTTTTGTGACTTCTTAAAAACTGCAAATACGTTCATTGAAAAAAAAAAAGTTGCACAGTCACGTGACTTCTGCGAACTCTCCCCTCTATATTTCTTCTTCCTTCCAGTCCAGTTTGAATTTCGATTTTGAGCAGTTGCCTTTTTTTTTTTACTTTATTAAAATATATGTGAGGCTGTAGAAAAATATTGATTGGGCAGTCTTTTGCCTGACACCATAATAAATCGCCTGGCAAAAGATTTAAAATTTTTTTTTTTGGCGCTGTCAGTGTCCTTTTAATGCTTCCCAAAGAGGGGGGAGGGGTTAGTTTTTCAGCTCACTATTAAAATGCGCTTGCTTATGACTAAGCCCCACTAGAGCGACAAACAGAAACAAACGACAGCGGCAAGCCTCAAACCAGTCTTTCGCGATTTGGCGAGAGTATCTTTGGCAGTCTTGCAATCACTCGTTCCTTACTTCGCGGGCACCCAAAGACTAAACGCCTGCCAAAGGTACAATCGCAAGCATGATGCGTATGCTTAAGGCTTGTCGCTGTCGTTTGTTTCTGTGTATCGCTCTGGTCGGACTCCGGCATTACCAACATCCTAACACTCGGGCCCATTTACGCAAGCTTCGTATTAAAGAGTGGACACTTTAGGAAAACGAATGGCGTTGCGCAGATAAACAACGGCTATTGGTGCAGTCCTGGAAGACACAACCTGTGCAAGGTATCCTGCTCGGGTGAGTAAATCGCAGTCCAAAAGCCATTTGTCGAAGCGTTGTATATTTGACAGAGTTTAATGGTTTTCTCTCTGTTTCTTACGTCTCGTTCTTACAGCCTTGCAGTCGGACAACATAGGGCCGTCCATCAAATGTGCCAGGCAGATCTATAGGAGTTCTGGCTTCAAAGCATGGTACGACATGGCAGTCTACAAAATGCTCCTCTCCCCCCCCCCCCCCCCCCCCCCACCCAACTTCCCAAAAAAAGCAAACATTTTTTTTTTGTTACCATAAATATAAACTACGCATCGCCGAACGCTCAATCTCTACCCAATGTAACGCTTGAGGTCTAAATCAGATACCAAAGGTTCAGCACTAACTGTTGCCTTATTCAAAAAATTATAAGTGGTTTTCTGAAAATTTCAATGGGGGAAAATAGCGGTCTATGGAGCTCTTGAATACATGGAGCTCATGACGCCAGAAACCGAAAACGGGCAAAAATGGGCCCCATTTTCTCCTTGAAAATTTTCAGAAAATTTTGTAACCTTTGTATAAAATATCCGTTCGTGCTGAAACTTTCGCAACTGGTTTGGACCCCTAGTGCTACATTTGGGCGGAGAATGATGGTCCGGCGATGCATATCTAATTTTTGCGGAAAAGAAAACACTGTATTTTTAATTTTTTTTTTTTTTGGGGGGGGGGGGGGGGGAAGGGGGGGGGGTACGTACGCCTTGCACATGGTCTATTAGAGAAAATGAAACTTTGTTTTGCGACACGCAATAATATACTACGCATCGCAGCAAGCTGCAACTACATGTGAATGGCGCGTTTTCAGGAGTGATAGAATGCGAAAGTTTGAGAAGAGGACGGTTACCAGGTTGAGATGATAAAACCAAAAAAGGAGATTTATAATTGAGCCGTCCATCTAGGCCTAATATTCGTCAAATCAATGCATTGGGTTGTGGGCGCCTGTATAATTTATTTCAGCGAAACAACTTGTCAACAAGAAATAAAACAAGATTGTCTTTCTTATTGATAAGATTGTTTTATTGAAGTAAATGCTATAGTCGCCAACAAAGTTATTTCTTAGTCTCACGAGTCACGAGTATTATGCTGGACGTTGGCTCATAAAAAAAATTAGTTTTTCGCCTTTATTTTTTTGGTCCCAGTCGTGTTTTGAAACTTTCGCATTCTATCACCTTGGCAAGCGTCACATTCTCAAGGAGTTTAAGCTTTATGAGATGAGTAGTGCACTTATGGAAGCCGAAAACCAAGGTTTCCTTTTGTCTATATCGGACCCTGTACTTCCCTTCTCCATCTCTTTTCCAATAGACCGACGCGCGGAGCGGCTCTGTTTACCAACACGGCCGGAAGGCCGCGCATGCGCGGAAGCTATGTGGGCAAAAGCGGCCCGGCTCTCCGTGTTTTCGCCATTGCGTTGTGTGGCGTGTGCTCGTTGTTGACGCTGTAGGGACGCTTCTAGCTTTATTTGTGCCTCGTATTTCCTGACAACGTATGTCGCATGCTAATCCCGACTATTTGAGCTCGCTACTCGAGCCTGAACGGCAGTGGTATCGAAACAAACTGTGCGTGGACGGCGTTGCCTTCGAGGATCCGTACGCCACAAACAAGGTTTGCTGGACTTCCGACGTGAAGTTGCTGCCACCGAAATCGACGGCTCGCGCCGTCGTTTTTTAAGTTTGTTTTCGCCAAGCCAGTTCACGGCGGACACGGTGCAGACGTGCAAGTCTCTCGAGGCCTATACGATTACTTCGAGTTGGTTTCCGCCCATGCCGGCGGGATCAGCAGACTGTGGGTCTGCGGAAGTGTATTTATTAATTGATTAAATACACACAGCGTCTTGAAGTCAAGGTGCGATATTTTTCCTACCCCCATGACCACAAGGCATGACAAGCAGTAACACTTTGTCCGTTCTGCAGTCTTGGCAGTAGCACCTTACAAGTAACGGCGTTACCAGGAACGCGTTACCTTTTTTCAGTAGCGTAGTAACCTACTCGTTACTTTTTCGACACAGAAACGAGTAACGTATTTACATTACTATTTCAAGTAACGTTGTTATGTTACTCGTTACTACTTCCCAAGTCTTCAAGAAATTACACAAAATTTTTCCGTGTTTTTAGGCGTCAAGCCATGTAAATTTCTGAGTTTTCTGTGTTTTTCTGTGTGTTTTTTCTTGTGAGTAATTACGTGAAACCGTAAAAAGATACAAAGCAATTATTTTCAGTTTCTGCATCAACATAATGTTTCTTGATATATGAGCTTATGAATAATTGTATCGTCGGAACAGTAAAACGTGTTAAATCATAATTTAAGAAGTAACGCAGAAGTAATATGCGGTACTTTTTATCGGTAGCGGTAACGCGTTCTTTTTATTTTAAGGTTACATAGCTCGGTAACGCGTACCTTTCATTTGCAAGTAACGAGTAAAGTATTTCGTTACTTTTTTTCGGTAACGCCTACAACACTGCTGTTCTGTAGCCGTTCCCCTTCTGCTGGGTAGCACGGGCGTAACGAGCCTCCGACGAGCGCTTGGCCGGTGCTTTGTGCGCGAACACCGTGGGAACAAAATCCGGGTGGTCTCGAACAGACGACGGTTGCCTTACACATAAGCGAGTCCCGGGACGGAGATTGAAATGGAAGACGCACTTGCTTTCAAGAAAGTGCTTACCACACAAACGGTCATTCGCGCGAGGCGACCATACTTTTCGATCCACGGATATTGTCCACCTTCTGTGCCTTTCAGAGTCTGCCGGGAACTTGTGGAAACTCACTCGCTACTTTTTTCGTACCTTTCGGTGCAATTAACGGCAACACAGCTTCGCGGCATGCTGAAATTCTATGACGCCCGTGCAAAACGCGCGCCCTTTTGCCCACACCACCCGGCTCCGGCTAAAAGCTCCGGCGCGATCGCAGCGTCGCCGCAGCTCCGTGACGTCAAGCCCGCGTGTCGGTCTATACGTCCTTTCCATTGTCCCTCTAGTTAAAAAGGCAAGGAACCAACTCAGTAAAGGAAAACAAATGATAGTGTCCTGGGCGTATTGTGATGGAGTTGAAAGGGCGTATGTTACGAAAACGTTGTGACGGTTCATCAAGCATACATATTGTTTATTTCTTCGTACTCATACGGTTGGTTCATCGGTCACGCAGGTACGGATGGAGAAACAAGTGCCGAGGAAAGAACTTGAGCTCGTATGTCAAGGGATGTAGGTACTGATTTCTTCAAGGTCCTTGCGTATCAAAGTTGACCCAAGGCAATGAAGATGATGCGAGCCGCGTCTACCTCTACCTTTACCCACCGTTCTAGTCAGGCCAAGTTGGTGATCAAGTCAACGCTCATTTAGCTAAATCGGCTTGCCTTTACGCCGCTGGATGGCATTTTCTTTGCAACATAAATAAAGCTTATGAATGAGTCAGCTCTTCTTTGTTTCATTTGATTACTTAAATTTCCGGACCCGTAAGCACATTTTGGATAAGCTAGCGGGACTTCCCATCGAAAGATTTCTCCAATGTCATCGGTACAAATTGGTTGTTATAATATTCAAGTTTGAGTTGAAGTCTGCCTGTACTCTGCGAAGAAATGAGAGTCAATGTTCAAAGAGTGACAAACAGTTGCTCATCCTTTTGCACAGATAAACTCTCGTTATTAAATTATGAACATTTAAATATGGAGACTGTCGGTAGGTAGGGGGATCGGGCAAAAAAGTAATCGTGTTGTGTGTATGTTTATACAACAAAGTTAGTCAGCCCGTTGGTGTCTACGCCGTAGGTAAAAAAATTTAGCCAGTGCGGTACCACTGCCACCCTGGGGTCTTTAACGTGCATCACGCAGTAGTGATACACGACCGCAAGCCGGTACGATGCACATCCAGATCGAAACGGGCAATACTGGGGATTGAAAGGATCGGAACAGGAAGGCAGTCTGCGCGCTTTGTGGTAGCGACTGAGCCACTGGAGGCACTGAAAATCGAAGCCAATAGATCGAACTACAACTCATGTGTTTTCGTAAGTGGACGCTAGAAGTTCATTATATAATTTAATCTCTTCAGTTATGTCGTATCTTATTTATGGGGTTTTGGGTAACCACACCAATTATTAAAGGCTGGACTTTATGAAGCGCAATACGACCGCGGGAAACCGACGATCTTTGCCCGGGGCAGGTTCGTCTTGCATGCGTCGCAAACAGCCACTGTTCTGACAACTCGCGCAAAGCGAACGCCGCTGGGCGGACATGCTTTTGTTTAAAGAAATATCTATATATCCTGAATTGATGGGGACCAGACAAACAGCAGATCAAACAATGCTTCGCAGTTTACCAAGGGACAGCCAACAACTTTGGTCAACTGAACAAGCATGTTAACTTCGTCCTGCTCCTCCGCTATCTCTTGTTTCAACAGCGACCTTACAGTCCAGGTTAAAACCTGAAGCTCGAAACCTAGAAGCACATTTATCGAAAAGTTTAACGTATTACGTTTTAATTTTTTTTTTTTTTGCAACCTGAACTTACGAAAAGTTAACATGAATGGTAAAAGTTTCGCGTTTAATTTTTATTCAATATATTACAGAAATTTCCGAAAAATCTTTGAACACAGGGAAAAATAGCAGTCTATGGACTTATTTTTCTCTGCGTTCCAGAAAGTGGTCGTACGAGGTGCGGAAATGCAACAAGTAACGCGAACTGAGACGCTTTTCCGGGAGGATGTGAAGATGTACAGGTGTGAAGATATGCTGGTTGGGCCCACCCCCCCTAAAATGCTCAAAGGCCGCTCACTGAAATGTTGACGTCATCGCAGTGAGATCGAGCGCAGAAAAGGCAGACACAAGTGCTTCGTCCGCGTAAAGCTTTGCAACGCGTCCCATCAGACCATCGAAGGACGCTTGACGTCGGGCTCGGACCCAATTGCTGAGTCATCCTATAGCGTGATGGCGTAGGGAGACTGTTCACAGGCTTTGAATGGCATTGGCCCAATCCTAGATTTATTATAATGTACGCTAGAGGTTCAGCTGACTCTAGTGTGCTGTCGCAAAGTGAAGCAGACAGCAACCAGTCGAAAATTGACTTCCGGTAATGCATTTCTATGGGAAAATGGGAGTGCATTTTCTCCCTGCGCTTGGTTATAAAAGCGAATATCCCAAATAATTCGAACCTGCTAGGTAGCTTGGAACATTTCCCAGTCAGGCAGACGAAATATATTGGTCAGTTACGGGCCTTTTTTTCCTCCAAATTCATTGCAAAAAAAAAAAAAAAAAGTGCTAAAACGGTTTTGTACATGTATTGACGTGCACTGGTAAACACTGTTCGCGCGAACACGTCGTCGGCACTTTTCAGCCTGGGGGATATACGTGCCAAACGAACGGAGAACATCTGGAAACCACGAAAGACGGCAAGAAGTACAAAGCAACACTGGATCAGTAACTGCCTCCGCATGCATACAGTCAAAATAAATTGAAGGCCACGTAATATAGTCCGATTTTCAATAAGTTAGTAATGTTTTATTCTTTCTGCCCTGTGCGAAGATGCCTTTTCTACGTTCAAAACATCACCCGCACGCTTGAAATCTTTGATAACAAGTGCCTGATAAAAGCTGTCCGGCATTTAAAAGAGACGGCTTTCATAGCCAACGTACTTTATTATTTAAGTTTTGAATGTTTTTAACCGCTCGTAAAGATGCAAGACGAGGTCATTTTCGTATAGTTACTGACAGGACTGGCATAGTAGCAATATATAAACGCCACTGGAATGCTGGCGAACCTTGACCACACTCTACATTCCTTTAGGTTGTTATTTTGCTTAGAATCGTTTCTTGCACTCCTGCTGTGAAACACAGGTTTGGACCTGAAATATAACGAAGTTAAACATCGTTCATTGATGAAGAAAAATGATGTAACTAAAGCAATTACACTTTTACAATGTTAATAAAGGTACATACTATTCGGTACGAGCCAAGCAACAAAAGTGTTTTATGTTATTTTCTGGCGAAGAGACAAAATGCACGCGTGTTTTTCATGGGAATGCACAGGGGCATCGCAAAAGTAGACTAGTTGCTGTCTGCTTCAATTTGCGTCTCGGAAGTAGCATAGACACCAGAGCCAGTTGAACCTCTAGCGTACATGATATTACCTATATGAGCCCAACCTACAGAAGAACGACATAGATCCAGGATCTTCAAAGCGATCACGTTTAACGAACCAATTTTACCAAACATTAGACGCATGTTCGACACCACCATAACCCAGCATATTCGCTTCATGAAGTTCAGATATTTCTTTTTTTTTAAATTTTAAACAAAGCACTTGTATTACGAAAAGGCCATAAACCCTTTTCGAATGACTGTCCTGGTTGGCAGCTGTGGAATCACTGCACAATGGCGGACTCAGACGTCAAGGTCACGGCATACTTTATTCGTTCGGTTGGATTAGAAGGCAAGACCACACCCACAGAGAAAGGTCATGAGCGCAGTGACGTTGCACTTTCGAGGCTGTTTAACTGGCTCGTCAGTTGCTAGCGTTCGACGCGCTCCGACGCTATCTGATGGAATGACTCGCGCACGTTCCGTTCCAGGATGACAGTTGTTCCGCCATAATACGATGGTTTGGACCTTCTAATAATTGGCACGTGACTTCCGAAAGAGGTACATTTCGTACAAACGAGTATATCCGAATTATTGTGAAATAAACGAAACGTTTAAAAGGCACTGGCTAACTTTTCATCTACAGAGTGTCAAAAAAAAAAAAAAATTCAGGTTTTTTTTTTTTTCTAATTGCAAGACCAAACTAGGCATCGCTGAACGCTCATTCTCCGCCCAAAGGTAGCGCTAGAGGTTACAACCAGATGCCAAAGTTTCAGCCCGAGATGATAACTTAATCACAAGTTATAAGTGATTTTTTTAAAAATTTCAATGGGAAAATGGCGGCCGACGAAGTTTTCGAATACATGGGGATCTATGGACACCAGAAACCGAAAACGGGCAAAAATGGGCTTCATTTTCCCATTGAAATTTTCAGAAAATCACTTATCACTTTTGAATAAGGTATCGCATCGGGCTGAAACTTTGGCACCTGGGAGCTCTAGCGCTATCTTTGGGTGGAGAATGAGCGTTCGGCGATACCTAGTTTATTTTCGCGGTGAAAAAAAACCCTGTACATTTTTTTTGTGACACGCTGTACATCGGGGACACCCAGGACGTCCACTGGAGGTGACTATAGCCTCCCGTTGTCTACACCACAAAACACGTTTGGTGAATCGGATCGGTCGCGTTGCTTGCGTCCGACCAGTCGTAGACGGAAGACGGAGAATAATATATGGGCGGCGCGCCTTTCTTTAGTCGTGATTGCTTGCCTTTTGTTATAGACGCTTTCTGGCAGCTGTGCATGGACGCCGCCATAACCGACCTTCGGTTTTTGCTTTCTCTTATTTCGTTCGCTTCTCTCCATCATTGCCACAGTATAGGACAGGTTATTCCCACTTTAGGTGCTACTGCGTCCTTCTCCCCATGGCGTAGGCCTTTGTGGAGGCTGGTCAGTGGCTCGTCATCTCGGTGAGACAAGAGAAGGTCGGTAATGGCGGCTTATACCCCTGTTACACGGGCACACTTAACCGCGGTTAACTCTGCTTAACTGCTGTTTCGCGGCACCACAGATACCGCACTATACTCTCTGACAGCTATATCAGAAGAAGTGAAGAGCGCGCGCGCACTGCTTCGATAGCTGCTCAAGATGCTCAAGTGCACGTTCGCCCATAGCTTTGACTGCATAGCCGCAGAATGTTGTCCGCAAGTATTGTGCGCTATCTGCGGCTTAGCTTAACTGCAGTTAAATGTGCCCGTGTAACAATTGTATTAGTCTGGCGCGTGTTTAACGCGTCTACTCCACCAATGAAGCCAGTCAAAAAGCACTCAAGGTGCGTCGTCGTGGTGCATTGTGCGGATGCGTTGTGCGTGACTGAGTTACCCGCACGCGCACAACGATGGCAAGCGCAAAGACTTTTGACGCCGCTCGATTGGCTTCGATCATCGCATTGTAACGTCTGCTTCAGTGGGAGATCGTTCCGACAACCCCGATGACAATACCCGACATAACGCCGAAGCCTGTGCGCGTGCATCGTATCGTTATCGGATGTATCGGAACAATCTACTGAAACTCCCAGATGTGAAACGGGAGTATATATGGATTGCAATTAAGGAGTAAAAGTATGCAGGTGAGCTGGTCAAAAAACATCATAATCTAGACCCCGAGACAAGGAGAAATAAAATAACAGACAAGACTCAAAACCCTTCCAAAAAGGGCGCCTGACCGGTTTTATTTTCAGTGTTCATGCGTATGGCGCATGATTTGCTCGTTTTACGAAGCGACGAACATG